AGCTAAGAAGGGAACACACATCACAAGACGCGGTTTACACAGAAAATAAGAAAAACGACCCCGTAGTGAACGAACCACATGCAAGTTTTAATTAAGACAAATAAGATGAATTATCTTAACAAGTTTTAGCGAGTGTAAATTTATCATAGTTGACAAATACGGACTTTTTAAATACTTTTTAAATGGTGTTGTGAAAACATATGAGGGCAAGCAATGCAATAGATTGACGTAATTGGGACACCCGATGATGGCACTATGTTGCCTAAACATGTTGTGAAGTGACAGGTGAAATTGAGTGCACTACAAGACGGCCACTGTATACATATAATGGATGAAAATCAGTGCAACAGGATGCTAAAATATAACATTGGAAATATGTGCTTTTAAATGTATAAAACTTTGAATGTAAGCAGTAATCACAGTAACTTGAACATTACACTGACACTGATTTACATGAGCTTCTAAACAGTTGCCAAAAATATTTTGTACTGAGAAATCCATTCCCTAATAATTATAAATGAGTGATATAGTGATGAAAACAAAACTCTATATCAGTTTATGCTTTGCAACACTGTCCTGGTTCACACCATTTCCGTTCCTGCTGCTGGTGACTTTTAACATTTGTCACCAGATGTCCGACATCATGGACATGACATGGTTTTCTGATAAAACTTGGTTTCACCTATTGGGATTTGTTAACAGACAGATGTGCATATGGTCTGTTGAAAATCCTTGCACTATTCCCACAGTCTCACCATCCACAGAAAATGGAGTCTCCAGGCATGACTTCTTCCTGTGGAGTCTGCTGAAGGGTGAATGTTTAAATTCAAACCTTGCACTATTGGCAACCTGAAAGGAAACCTTCGAGATTGCCACAATCCCTCATGCCATGCTTGCTGCAACATTTGCAAACATGGAGCATTCTTTCTCTAGGAAGAAGGAAAACAATTCTGACATCTGTAACCAAGTTATTTATTTCTACCAGGGCAGGTACTGACCAAGTTTTGGTTTCATCAGTAATTTATTGTGCGATACATAATTGCTAAATTTGGGACCCCTGCTAAGTGAATCACTTTATATAAGTTTCCTGTGTAAAGACATTATTACCTTAGTATATTCTTTAGTTCTGTTTACTAAGATGATTTTCATTCACAGGAGTTGGATAAAATGTTGTTTCTTTAAAAGATGTTCGCTAATGCTATTGCCATGCATATACACATGGAAATCAGCAGAAGTATAAGATAACAGATTGATAACTGGTAAAGTACGTTTCTGATATGAATCAGTCACTATTAATGATGCAGTGGTTTTCATCATTTACAGTTAGCACTCTTAATTTTTAAATAATGACGTTTTGTCGTAACTACTTTCAAGTGATTATTGTTCTTAGGAGTCACATTGCTAGACAGTGAGGTAGTTGAATCTCCTCAAGATGTAGCAGTTGCCACCTCTGAAATTCAGCATTTAGTATTGACCAGACTGAGTTGTGCAGTTGCAAATGAGCTTGTCCAGTCAGTGGCCTGTCTCCAGGACACTTTCATTGGCACATTACAGCGATGCTTAGAGAGTCTGGAAAAGAACTGCTATGAACAGGAGGGAAGTTTGTCAGCAAGTGATGCAGTAAAACAGGTAAGGTGATTAAGCTATAGTGGTTAAATGTATTCCAATTATATGACATAGCAAGACAGCTACTCACATCTTAAAAAGATTTATAACCAAAATATTCCTGTAAAGAATAAAACGAATGTAAATATAAAAATTGTTTTAATTGGACCTCAAAACTCTTAGTGTCACTCAATATATCCTTGATATGTTATGGTAGATTATTATAGACCTTCGTTCCTAAACAGTAAACCTCAAATTTACAAGAGGCTGATGGAGATTATTTTGCTGTCTGGTATTTATTCTATGAATCTCTGAATTTACTATGAATTTGTTTCTGTTTTTTTATCACAAAGAGCATAAGAGATGGTATGTACTGAGATGCCAGAGGTAAGATTTCTCATTCTCTAAATAAGTTCCTGCACGAATCCCTCCTCCTGCATCCCAACATACTTCTAATTATATTCTTTTGCATTCTAAAATTTTTATACTTCGGGTGAGTTGCCCCCAGAGGGTAAACCATAATTTATAATAGAATTAAAATAAGAGTGATAAACCATTTTTAAGATATTTATGGACGTTTATGGTTTAAGCGATCGTATTATGTAGCAGACTGCGCTTAATTTTGAAGTAATATACTCAATGTGGTATTTCCAGCTCATTGTGTCACCAATGAATATTCCAAGAAATTTAATATTGGATATAGATGTAGTTACTATAGGATTCTGACGATGGTGTATAACACCATAACCAGTATAACCAATGATTGAGGCTAGCTCTTTCTAACAGACCCAACAGAATAGGTGTTTTCCTTCACCTGAGGACGGAAACAGATCCAGTTTCCGAAACGTCGTGTTTTTATTAGTTATCTTAAAAACCAGGATGATGGATAAAGTCCGAAAACCCAATATATCAGTGCGATATAGATGTAATTTGTTTTTTATCATATACAATTTTTATTTCAGATTTAGGATTATTATTTCTAGATGTAAATTGAATGTAGTGGGTTTTGTTGAAATCTATACCACATTTGGAATTGCAGGAAATAAATAAGAATGTTTTTTCAGTCCTCTAACCATTTGTCCTCAACACCAACACTCAGGTCCATCAACTGAATTATGTTTCATGGTTGAATTGTAATCTTACAGTACCTGTAAATAACATTAACAGCACAAGATGAGTAGGGCTGTAAGTCTGTGCAGTAAGAAAGTAGGCTTCATGAGTTCTGCCAGGAAATCTTTACATCTGCAGTTTTATACAGTTTCTTTGTTATACAATAATTGTTTTCCAGTTCTCATAACCTCATTTCATACTGCACATTTTCATCTACAATCAAGACCCATAGAAATGTTCAAATTATTTTTTCTTTCTCTCACAGATCTTGTCTGCAGCATATAATATAAAATTAACTACATCCTCATCATCATCTTTTTTGCACACATGTTTGGAACGCCTACGGAATTTACTACTCACATTTCAGTTACCTTGGGCAGCAACACGTTGTCTAGATGTTGCTTGGAAGAAGAGGGTGGCCACAGAAATGCTGGACTCCTTGAGTGCAGCCCGACTTGCAAAAAACATCTCAGCTCAGGTAAAAAAAAAGCAAAACCAAAATGTTATTTTCTAAGTGCAGTTGGCCATAATTTTATTTAACAGCTGTAACCCTAATTTTTCAAGTAAAAGTTGTGACCAGAAATCCTGTGCCTTGTATCATATCAGTCAGATTTTGTGTGTATGTATGTGTACCTTAGTACAGATGTTTCTGCTTCTGTCATAATGCTGAGAAAAATTTTAATGTACTTCTGTAATTACACATAAGTAAAACTGTATTGTCACTGTTAATTCTAAGGAACTGCATGTTTGTCACCTCAGACATGAACATAAAAAACGTTTTTTTAAATCCCAGTCATAAATCTAGTTTACTGCAAACAAAATTTGTTGACTTATCATATTAAATTTTACTGACTTTAAGTTGAGTTCTTCATTATAGAGAAAAGTTGTTCATCCATGTTATTTATAAGCATCACTTTGTGCTGGACTTGAAATCTGTGGGTAATTGAGTGTAAGAATGTAGCACAGAACTGACATTTCTTTCTGTCATCAAATCCACACAAATGACTGTATTTCTGTGAAATAGGCAAAATGTTCTGTGTCTGTTTTCTCCTTTGGATATTTGCCCCGGTAGACAGTATTTTGTTTATTTTACATGTTTAATCACCATAATATTAAAGTACAAATCATAAGTGTGGTGTCAATTACTTTTGCACTTCCATTTCACACAACTACCATTATTCTTGACATCTGTCATTTGCTTGTCTTAGCACAGATTATTTTGCTATAAATTGGCGGTGTACCACTTTTGTTTGCTGACTTTGTACTTTGTGCAGCCTCTTCATAATTCATGGCATCTGTCCTGGAAACATATTTCTGTCTCTCTCGTTTATTTCCTATTCCTATAGCAGGACAGCACAAATTTTGGCATGAACACACTAAAATCTTAAAATGGATTAAAAACATGTTTTATACATATATATGAATGCATATTTAGCACTCAGATTAATGACACCAGTAGTTTAATTCTTAAAAGAGGGAGAAGAAGACATGTGTTCCATTTGGACAAATACCATATTACTTCGAATATAAGACATACATTTTACATATTTTTTCCTGTTAAAAAATTGAGATGCATCATGAATTCGAGAAATATTCACCTTTCTGATTTTTTCCCCCTAAATCCCATATTCAAAAACTGGATGTGTCTTCTGGTCGAAATATAATGGTATTATAGTAATCCCTCTTGTCATCAGACCCTGATATGCAAACAAATGCTGAGTTTGAGACTGAAAAATGAACATCTAGTACAGGATTCTTTTTTTCGTGTTTTGATCTCAGAAATTCGAGATTTGCACATGCCTGGAAATTTTATATTGGGGAGTCTTATTACAGTTTGTTAACCCATATTACTTTTGGTTAAAATTGGACAGCAATAATAGACATTTTATTTGAAGACCAACATGCATTTCTATGCTCATTTTACACATAACTTGCTAAATAAAGTGTTTCCTGGGTAAATAGTTGTGCAGAAGACATGTGGAAGAGAACTTTTTAAATGGGAAATCTTATAAGAGTAATATAAAATATGTTAATTTTTTGTTCACTTTTGTATTTCTATCCGTAGCAACTCTTTCATAATATTGCAATTATAAAAACACAAACGTATATCATCGGGGCTTTTTTTTTTTTTACTTTAGTGCTAAAGAAAAATTTGTTAAATGGACCACCTAGATTTTGCACATGTTATGTGTATTTGTTGCTTGTATCTGTTGGATTCTGTCACCATGAGGTTAAGGATCAAGCCTGTGAAGAAGAGATGGAAGTAAGCACTAGGAAAAGAATCAGGAGTAGGCATATGCCTAGATCCAGACAGTTCTCAGAATTGGAAAGGAAGAGGGAGACGTTAATAGGTGACAGAATTTTCCTGTAGTCCTCATCATGCATGTCATCCTCTTTACTGTCAGGCACAGGGTGAGCAGCATAGAGATAGGGATGAGGTTTAAAGATACCTTTATGAACTACCCAGCCAGCAATATTAACCTGGGAAGCAAAATTGTCAGGATAAGAATTTGCAGAAAGTAAGTCATTGTAACTTTATTTTCACACTAATGATGTTTGTTGCTCCATATGTTTCAGTTTCGTGACAGAGTGAGAGCTTCACATGAATCTTTTCAGTCTGCTCTTCGGTCTCTTGAAAATCATTATTCAGGTCGCCTGGAACGAACAGAAGAGCAGCGAATTGCAATTCGCAAATACCATACACCCAGACTTGCTCGCCTTGCATTGGAGAGTACATCCATGTGTGACATGATCCGATATGGTAAACAGAATAGTTCAGTTTGCAGGTTTTATTACCTTGGCATGTAATACTGTTGCTTGTTCAAACATTGATCTGCTGTAAAATTAACTTCAGAAGTGCTTGATTTAATTCCTACAGTGTCAAGCCAAAACATTGTACAATTTAGGCCCAATAGAAATGCATATTATTGGTATGTTTTTCTACAGACATGGACTTACCATACACAGTTTTGAAAAGGCTGGATTTTGCTGTGTTTTGTATTTAAATTTTAATGACAGAAAACCACACAAAGTGAAGAAACTGGTACACAGGAAAACATATCGAACTCTTCTTACACTAACGCTGCTAGTAGGTTTTTCTTCCGTTTTGGAGGGGTCGACCCCTCCACGAGGCCCAATCCTTGATCTTTTGCAACCCAACAGTAGATTTGACAATTCGCTTGGCGATCTCCAGTCCCATGTTTTCCCTAGGTCTTGATAACATTTCGTATGCTTTCCAGTTTTACTTTCTTTAGATCTTGTTTCCTTATTCGTTTGTTACGTGCTGATGTGCCCATTGTCTCCTCCTGAGCACCCGTTCTTTTAAAATTTTTGGTACAACTTTGTCCTTACCTTGTCCCTTATGCTGTGGCACTTCTGCACAGCAGGTCATCTTCCTTCTGGCTGCGGCTAGTTCCTTCCGTGGTCCACAATTTCCCTGGGTCTGAATTTTCCTGAAGACATTTCCCTTGTGCCATGCCAATGCTGCATGATAGGACACCTTCCTGCAGGCAGCAGCCAACTTATTCTGGAATCTACAATCTCCTTGGGTCAGTTTCTCTGGTTCTTCGCGTTGCCCTGCAGCTAGATGCCAGCCCCTATGCCGCTTCTTCGTTGTCCTTGAAGATTTTACTGTGGCATCTTCCATGTGGAATTCCTCATGCACAGCTACAGACTTCACTTCCACTGGATTTGCCTCTGTATTTTCTGCAGTGGGCTCCTTTCTCCAGGAGTCTTGAGTATCTCCCATGGTCTCAAACTTCTCAAAATTGTTCTCTGTTATGGCATCCAACCTTTGCCATAATTTCCTTTTTATTGGCATCCATTTTTTATTTTTCTAGCTCGATGTTTACCTCTGCCAGATCAGCGTCTGACTTGGTTATCAGCTTTTCGTGCATGTCTTTTCTTTCTGCTTGGTCAGCTCCCCTATTGCCGTCGATTTTGGCTTGGTTGGTTCTTATTTTGACCTTTATTTCGGCCAGCAGGTGTGCTATCATTTGTCCTATCCCCATAGTATGGCGGTATGACTTCTTACTGCAGTCTTCAATCCAATAATTCAATCAACCACTCTGATCCAGTTACTTCTAACACCAGTTGTCATGTGTATTAGTGACTCGTATACTGGGTTTGGATTGCTTAATTGATTTATTGGATATTCACTGTCGTAACTACAAATAATTATGGCACTTTCAAGATTACTGTAACTATACACATAAAAATTTCAATGCCCCTTAACGCTTCACAGCTGAATGTTCATAACTCCTTTCCATGATGGCTTTGTGTCCTTGCCTTACGGCTTCTCAGCTATGACTCTTTCAAACAGCTTTCTTTTTCTGTTATAAACCTTCGTCATGGGCCACACTCAGAAAACACAGCCCTGCTATTGTTTTGTGATGTCACTGCCTACGCAGAAATGTGTTTACTGAGTCATTGCCTAGCAATGATCCTGTATGATTGTGATGCAATTAAGCAAGGAGGTGTTTATCACGCCATTGCCTAGCTGTACATGTTACAATATATTCGAAATGTAATACGTATTAATAGAAGTAACATCTACATAAATTGATGCCGTTTAATTCTGGTACAAAAACAAAATTATTTGTATAAGTGCTACTAAATTAGTATATTTTCCACACCTTCCCAAAATAGATGCTTTTGAAGTCTGGATGCAGCTTATATTTTAAGCTTATAATTGGATCTTAGAAAATCACTAACAAGCAGGGAAAGGATAGGGCCTGTGATATGTAAAGAGGAACTTTGTGATTATTTTGAAAAGTCATTGGAGTACCTTTTCTATGCCCAGGAATGGTACATAATTTGTTATCATGACCATACGGCAAAGAAGTGAAGCTGTTGAACTGTTTTGTGATGGTAAAACAAGTATTCATTTTAATTTACACACAAATTTTTGTAATGAAAGGATTTATAAATAATTGCTGGTACAAGGGACTGTCAAACAGTCTTTACCGACTGATGTATTTATTCAAACAACATGAAGAGCTGAGAGATGCTAGCATTATTGGCATTGTGATGTGTGGTAGTGCTCATTTGTATTACATTATTATAAAGGGTTCATGTAAGCATCACATTTCAGATTGAGTTGACTAATGCTAAACAACTGTTTGCTTTAATTTTGCATTAAACTCAGGAAAATGATTTCTTGATAACAGCATTGCAAATATCATTCAATTGTGTGAAGCATTAAACCATGTCTAAACATTCTGGTAGTTCTTGAGTTTCAAAAATGGTCATTAGTTGAGGGCAACAAATGAAGTTGTAGAACATCAGCTTCTAAGAATGCTGCAATAATGACCCACATATGATGAGTTTTTATTTGTGTTAACCTTCATTTCACAATTTGTGAGTTTTCTGGTGATATTAGCATATCACACCATACCAGTGAGTTTCTTGAATACCTGAATAGGATTTACCTATTAGGGAAAGTTCCTGGACTAGGTCAAAAAAAGACATTCTGGCTTAACTTACTCAATTTTGGCTGTCATCTCCTTCAAAATAGTCTGCTTATGAATGTATACAGTGATCCCATTGTTTTTTCCACACTTCAAAAGCGCCAAGGAAGTCATTTTTTTTAATTCTGTCGAGTACCCCCTGCTATTCCCTTTGGATATCAGACACTGTTTCAAAACGTTGTCCTTTCAGTTTCATTTTCAATTTGGGAAACAAAGCAAAATGACAAGGGGCTAAGTTCGGTGAGTAGGGAGGGTGGGGAAGGATAACCATGTTGTTATTAGTCACAAATTCTGTGGCTTTCAGGGATGTGTGGGCAGGCATGCTGTTGTGATGAAGGAACCAGTTGTGGTTGCACCAAAGTCCCAGACTTTTTCGTTGCACTATTTCTCTCAAGCATCTCAGAAGTCAAAAGTTGACCATAGTGTTAGGAAGAATAAATTCATGGTGAACAATCCCCTTCATGTCAAAACAAAAAACAAAACACATTAAGCATGCTGTTTGTTGAAATCTGGACCTTCCTCACCTTTTTTGCTCTTGGTGATTGTAGGCTCTTCCACTGTGATGACTGTTGTTTTGTTTCTGGATCATAACAGTAAATCCAACTTTCGTCACTCATTATGATCCTAGAGATACTAGTAAAAGTTGGGTCATCATTAGCCATCTCTCGTAGCACAAGACACACGTTTACACGCCACTGCTTTTGATCATTTGTCAAGAGTTGGGGAACAGACTTGGTGGCTATGCAATGTATGTTAAATTTTCTGTTAAGGTCTCTTTACAGACTCCATAATTGATCCCAGTTGGTGTGTGCAAGCTCATGGCTTGTTCAGTGACAGTCTTCATGGATGAGTTTTCAAAATTTTTCAACATTTTCTGTAATTTTGCTGGTGCTTGGTGGCCTTGAATGTTCATCATGTTCTTCAACTGACACTCGACCAGCCTTGAAACGTAAATGCCATTCAAAAACGGCTGTCTGGCTTAAAAAAAGTATTCTCCAAAAGCCACACGGAACATTTCATGGGTTTCGATAGCAGATTTAGTGAACTTCACACAAAACTTGATGCAGGCACATTGCTCAATCTTGCCATCCATCACAGACAAAATGAAACATGAAGTCAAAAAAGCACTCGTGTAAAAACAGTGCTTGTTCACAGTGCAGTGTCACATGGCAGACTAATGCAATAGTCTTGCAGAAGTGTGACCTTGGCCTGTCTTCTCATTTTCTTTCACTGAGACAGTTACAAGAATAACAGTCCAGGAACTTTCCAATAGCATCTGCAGTAGTATAACTGAGTGACTTCCTGATAGTATAAAATTTGACCAGTTTTGTTCACTAAAAGTGCTTACAATACTATGTTATGTAAATGGAACAATATCCCTATGAGGTTGTCTTCTACAATTTTTTTAAGAATTCCTGAAAGGGCATAGATGGCAGCCCATCCTTATTGTATAACTTATTTCGCAGAAATATGTAGGGACTGCTTATATGTTGGTAGTGGGGTGGGACTAAGTCCCTTGTACTGCAGCCACTTCTGGCACATTGTGCCGCTGCTTATATGTTAATGGGCCCATAGTTCATCCACAGAAACGATGTTTACCATAATAATTTATTATACTTCCTTGTGTTGTTTTAAAAAATGAGTATGTGTAAGCTATTTAACTGTAGTACCTGTATGTGAGTAGTTATTCTGAAAGGTAACACTATTCATAAATTAGTAATATTTCTTGTTTTAACACTCAGGAATGCCCGTGCAAGGAAAGGAGATTGGTCGAGGACAGTATGGTGTAGTGTTTTCCTGTGAATCTTGGGGAGGGACTGGTCCATGTGCTGTGAAGTCTGTTGTACCTCCTGATGATAAGCATTGGAATGATCTTGCAATGGAGTTTTATTATACAAGGTGGGATTTAATGTAATAGATATTTCAGGAATAAAAAGAGGGATATCTGAAAGACAAAATTAAAGAACTTGCAGCACACAGTAAGAACAAGTACATTAGGGACTTGCATAGAAATGCAGATAAATTTAAGGAGTGTTACCAAACTGTAACTATCTTGGTAAAAGATGAGAACAGTGATCTTCATGTAGATTCCCACATTTTAAATAGGTGGAAGAATTACTTCTCTCAGCTGTGGAATGTACATGAGGTTATTGATGTTAGGCAGACTTTTAGACTTACACATCTTGTGTGGAATGAAATGGTGAATAGAGTGTAGCAGTATATACAAATAATCATATGTACCTGATGATGGACCCATGTAGCCAAAACATGTTGTAAGTATGAAAACATGGACTAAGTGGTGTTTGCACTTTCAAGGCAATATTATGCATATATATCAAATGTTCTCTAATATTTACTTTCCCTCACACATTTGTAGTAAGTGTGTGAAATTGCTTCATAAAATTACATTTTCTTTGTGGACTTGTTTCCTATTGTAGGGTCATCTTACATGGAATCATCATCCATTTGGGTAAATATGGTAGCATACTGAGAATGTGGCTGGTATTATAAAATATTGCAGTAAAAAAAATTGGTTTGCTAGAGAAAATTCCTATTTGTCTTGATTCTCAAAATTCTTACAAATTTATCTCGAAATGAAAAAGTCATTCCTGTATAAGCCCAGTTTTATACTGTATGGTTTACTTCTCATGGAGCTGGGATAGTGCAGTCAGTATAGTGACTGGCAAAGGACTGGACAACCAAGTGGTCAGAGTTCAAGTCCCAGTAAGGTCAAGAATTTTCTCCATGTCATCCAGACCAGCTCTGGGTCCCAATCTGCTCCCCCATACCTCTTGGCATAGTGCGTAATTATGAGTAGCTAAGCACTGGGACAACTTCATGTTGTACCTTCATGGTTTACTTCTTGCTGTAGGACAATCCCTGAACATAAGCGCATAGTGAAGTTACGTGGCTCTGTGGTGGATCATACTTATGGTGGAGGCTGTACACCAGCTGTTCTACTGGTCATGGACCGGTTATCACGAGATTTGTATAGTGGGCTGCGAACTGGGCTGAAGTGGCTTGTTCGTCTCCAGATAGCAATTGATGTAGTGGAAGGGATTCGTTACCTTCATTCCCAAGGTCTTGTCCACAGGGATATCAAATTAAAAAATGTCTTGGTAAGTAAACTGAGATTACATCCAGTCACACATATGTGCATGTGCACACTAATGCATACATCCATTGATATTCTCTTGTGTATGTGCACATACACAAGTACTTATACTGAGAGAGGTGCATATAATGAACTGTTCCAAATGTTACCTTTCACATACTTCATGGCAGTATGAATTAAAATGTCACATTCTTCATAATGCATAAAATTATGATAAAGTGTAACTGTCATATTTTGTATTATCAGTCTTACTTGTATGATCCCCCCGCTCGCACACACACGCACACGCACGCACGCATGCATGCGCGCACACAAGTAAAATCAGGTTCCATATTTCTACCTTGATAAAATTTAAATGCATTATGGTAACATGGTACAGTAAACTTAATTATGTAGTCCATCACACTAGCAGTATTGCAAAATGTTAATCAACAAATCACATGGCAGAATCCATGGGCATGACTGTCCATTCCACTTCAGTCACATTTTCTGTTCAATTCAGTTTATTTTTATTCATCAGATCTACATTTGGCGATGGCGCCTCCAGATATAGAACATGTCAAAGCCCAAGTTACAATAAAATCAATCCAGAGGACGTCATAAAGATATTACAACTTATATACAAACATTGTTGCAAAAACTATTGATACAAGTATATTTACCGTCATCGTCAACACTATGCTCCACGGTGCCACACTGAAATACAGATCACATCAATATTCCCCCTTTTTTCCTTCTACCCCCCCCCTTCTTACATTTCAACCCCCAAAGTACAATGTTATAATTAAATAC